GACCAGTGGGTTTACCCTGTTTTTGTTAAATTCTATATTGCTGTTGTTAGGTTCTGTCAAGTTGATTCCAACTCATAGCAGCCCCATGTGACAGAGTTGAACTGCCCCACAAGGTTTTCTAGGCTGTACTCTTTATGGAAGAGCCCTGGTGGTGCAGTGGTTAAAGTGCTCAGCTGCTAACCAAAAGGTTGGCAGTTTGAACCTACCAGCTGTTCCGAAGGAGAAAGATGTGATAGTCTGCTTCCACAAGAATTTACAGCCTTGGAAACTCTATGGGGCAGTTGTATCCTGTCCTTACAGGGTCAACTATGAGTCAGATTTGACCTGATGGCAAGGGGTTTGGGTTTGACTTTGGTTTTTTACTCTTTATGGGAGCAGATCACCAGGTCTTTTCTCCCACAGAGCCACTGAGTGAGTTCAAACTGCCAACCTTTTCGTTAGCAGCTGAGCACTTAACCATTACACCCCCAGGGCTCCTAAATTCTATATAAATCATTATTATTTCTTACAAGACTGTAAAAAGTTTTCAAATAAATTATTTGCTTATACTTTGTAAACAAATTATAGTTCCTTCTATATTTGATAAGGAGCCCTGGTGGTGCAATGGTTAAGTGCTCGGCTGCTAACAGAAAGGTTGGCGGTTTGAACCTACTCAGTTGCTCCATAGGAGAAAAGACTGGCCATCAGTTCGCTAAAGATTACAGCCTAGGAACCCAATGGGGCAGTTCTACTGTGTCTTATAGGGTCACTGTGAGTCAGAGTCAAATTTTGAGAAATTCTAGAAAGATGTACAAGAAACTGATAACAATGGTTAATTTTCAGGACAGGGCATCTGAGCCTACAGGAGAAAGGAGTAGGAGGGAGATTTTTCAACAATTTTTCTTTAATTTCTTTTTTGTTTTAAACTTTTTATTTTCTTAAAAACAAATGGTTTTGCCAAACTACAGAACGGGAGAAAGCATTTGGTAACCATATATCTGATAAGGGTTTAATATCCAGAATATATAAAGAACTCCTACAACTCAACAACAAAAAGACAAACAACCCCATTTAAAAAATGGGCAAAAGACTTAAACAGACTTTTCTCCAAAGAAGATATATGAATGGCTGTGAAGCATATGAAAAGATGCTAAAGGTCATTAGTCTTAGGGAAATGCAAATCAAAACCACAGTAATATCCCACGTCATACCCACTAGGATGGCTATTATCAGAAAAATGTAAACCAACAAGTGTTGGCAAGGATGTGCAGAAATTGGAACCCTTGTCCATTGTGGTGGGAATGTAAAATGGTGTAGCCACTGTGGAAAACAGTTTGGTGGTTCCTCAAAAAGTTAAACACAGAATTATCATATGATTCAGTGATTCCACTGCTAGGCACATACCCAAAAGACTTAAAAGCAAGGACTGAAAACTATCCTTTACACCACGGCAGCATTATTCTCAAGAGTCAAAAGGTGGAAATTGCCCCAAATCCGTCAACAAATCAATGACTAAAGAAAATCTGGCACCTACATACAATGGAATATTGCTCGGCAGTAAATAGAAATGAAGTTCTGATAGTTGCTACCACACGGATGGATCTTAAAACATGAAAGTGAAGTAAGTCAGATTCAAAAGGGCAAATACTGTGTGATTCCACGTGTGCGGAGTGTCTAGAACAGGAAGTGTGTAGCGCCAGAAATTTATTAGTGCTCCCCACAGGCTGGGCGAAGGAGGGCATGTGGAGGTACTGTTGAGGGAGTACTGCCTTTCTGTTTGGGGGGATAAAAATGTCCTTGGAAATGGATAACAGTGACAGCTGCACTATTATGTGATTAATGTCACTGAATTGTATACTGAAGACTGGTTGAAACAACATTTTTTGTGATGTGTATTTTATCACAATTAAAAAATGTTTTACTTCTATAAGTTAAAATTTTCTTATTGCCAAATGTTCCCCCTACGTTGGATATACAGTGAGGATTTTTGTTAAATACTTCATTACTTTACTTGTTTGGAGCCCTGGTGGCGAGCTCGGCTAACCTAAAGGTCGGCTGTTCGAATCCACCAGCTGTGCCTTGGAAACCCTATGGGGCAGTTCTACTCTGTCTTTAGGGTCGCTATGAGTTGCAGTCGACTTGATGGCAATGGGTTTGGTTTGGTTTTGGTTTACTTGTTTAATTCAAGGTTCTTTACTTGGGGTCCACATATCCCCAAGGGATCCATGGATAGAATTCAGGGAATTTGTGAATTTGTGTGGGATAAAAATTACATCTTTATTGTTATTAACCTCTACCTGAAATTTGGAGCCCTGGTGGCGCAGTGGTTAAGAGCTTGACTGCTAACCAAAGGTTAGCAGTCCAAATCCACCACCTTCTCCTTGGAAACCCTGTGGGGCAGCTCTACTGTGACCTGTAGGGTCACTATGAGTCAGAATCGACTTGACGGCAAAGGATGTATTTTTTTTAAACTGAAATTTAGCATTTCCTTCAATTCCAAACATAGTCCATAAACCACAGTAATAGTAGCAAGGCTTGTGACTATCACCAAAAGAAAACCCAGATATTTTTATATCACATAACAGTTTTTGAAGATATCTTGAAATGTCATTTATCCTCATCACTACTTCAAATTTAGGATAGTTATTAACTCTTGTTATTTAATGCATTTACATAGAAGCATGTCTATTACTATTTCACAAATTTATAGTTTAATATTTTCATGTATTTCAATAGAATTGGCTTCCTTTGTAATCTAATGTATTTTATTTTATGCGTTAAAAAAAAATTATTCTAAGAAGACGTCCACAGTCTTGAGCAGACGGCCAGAGGGATCCAAGGCAGAACCACAACCAGGGCTAGCAACTGCTGCTTTTCTTCCCCTCACAGTCACTGTTGTGGGCAGAACGAGATTGGTGTTAAAAACCAAAGAGTCATCAGCTGAATACTTTTATTTGATTTAAAAACAATTGTTTATTGTGCTTTAGGTGCAAGTTTACAGAGCAAATTAGTTTCCCATTTGATAGGTTGTGCGTGAAGTGTTCCCCGACATTGGCTTCCTTCCCCACAATGTGTCGCACTCTCCCCGTTTCCACCCTGGTTTCCCACCTCCCTTCGTCCTGGTTTTCTGCCCTTTCCTGCCTTCTCAGCTTTGCTTTTGGGCAAAGTTGCTCCTTTGATCGCCTATAATTGATTGTTCTAAGGAGCACGTTCCTCTCAGGTGTTATTGTTTATTTTATGGGTCTGCCTGTGGAAACCCTGGTGGCATAGTGGTTAAGAGCTATGTCTGCTAACCAGAAAGGTTGGCAGTTTGAATCTACCAGGCGCTCCTTGGAAACGCTATGGGGCAGAGCTGGAGTCGACTTGAGAGCAATGGGTTTTGGTTATGTCTATGGTCTCCAGGAATGGCTTCAGTTCCAGTTCAGAAGTGTGTCTTAGGCTGAATACTTTTAAACTTTAATGTTTCTCTACACTTTTGATTGATTAAAAAAATAATAATAATAACCAAACCCGTTGCCATCGAGTCAACTCCGACTGATAGCGACCCTATAGGACAGAGTAGAACTGCTGCTGTTTGATTGACAGTCATGTATAATGACCACGTTGTGTATTTAACGATTCTTTTTTTTTTTTTTCCTACTTTTTTAAAATCGTGCTTTTGGTGAAAGTTTACAGCTCAAGTTAATTTCTCATTAAAAAATGTATACACATATTGTTTTGTGATGTTGGTTGCAGTCCCCACAATGTGACAGCACACTCCCCCTTTCCACCCCCTGGTTCCTTGTGTCCATTCAATCAGTTCCTGTCCCTTCCTGCCTTCTCATCCTGCTTTTGGACAGGAGCTGCCCATTTGGTCTCGTATATTTGATTGAACTAAGAAGCACTCTCCTCACGTGTATTATTTTTGGTTTTATAGTCCTGCCTAACCTTTGTCTGAAGAGTCGGCTTCGGGAACGGTTTCAGTTCTGGGTATTTAACATTCTTGTTCCTTAAAATGTGTGTTTTGGTGAGAGAGCCAGAAAGAGGAACATTAGTTTAAGGTCAGTTTTGTTGTTGTTAGTGGCCAGCAAGTCCATCCGGCCCCTCGCGACCCCCTGTGTGCAGAGTAGAACTGCTCCGTAGGGTTTTCAAGACGGTGACCTTCTGGAAGCTGATCACCAGGCCTGTCTCCCCACGTGCCGCCAACCTTTAGGCAAATAGTTCCTTACTGTCTATTAATGCCGCTGTCCCGTACATTTTCCATGTCATAGGCGTTCACTTGTAACATTTAAAGCTCCTGCTCCTTGTCCAGAGTTTAACTCATCTTCTAATCTACAGCAATTGCGAGGAAGATAATCTGAATTAGGTAAATATATGAGTAATGGGATATCTTAAAAAAAATGCAGTTTGGCTATTTTATTCAGGCTAACTTTATCTGCCAAAAAAAGGTCCTGGCCAAACTGCCAATGACTAGATAAAATTAATTTGAACTAACTAGTTTAATTATTTATTATTAAAGTAATTTTTCTAAAGTGCTTGAAAACAGATGGTCTTTTAAGCTTTTGTTTACTCTAACATCATTGATTTAAAAACATTTATTGAATCCTCTTATGGGCAAAGGCACAATCTGAGCCCTCAGGATATTTACAGCTTCATCTGTTGTTAGCTGCTGGTGAGACCGCCCAGACTCGTGGGGATCCCATGCACAACAGAGCGGAACTCTGCTTGGTCCTGTGCCATTGTCACGATTAGTTGTCGATCGGACCGTTGTGATTCTTTCCTAGTCTGTCTTAGTCTGGAAGCACTGCTGAAACTTGTTCAGCATCATAGCAACGCACAAGCCTCCATGGACAGACGGGTGTTGACTGTCCATGAGGTGCACTGGCCGGGGATGGAACCCAGGTCTCCTGAATGAGAGGTGAGAGTCCTACCACTGAGCCGCCACTGACTGCATGGTTTCTTCCATCCAAGGACGTTCTTAGAACATGATGGGCTCTACTGGTTACCTAAGACTAAGCAAAGAATGGTATGTGGCAATGATAGAAATTTGAAGACAGATTTTTATTAAGCATATATACACCACCAACTTACAAAAGGGTATCAGAGAGCTTGAAAAAAACAGTGTGAAATGAGACAAGCACAAACACAACACATTGTTTTAGGTTGACACATTCGCATGCCGTTACAGCTATCATACATCATTAATTTAGTTAGCAAGCTTTTTTTTCAAGCTGTGCAAAGTTAAAAAGGAAGTCAAACTATGTCTTCTAATTAAAAAAAAAAAACCCAAACCCGTTGCCGTCGAGTTGATTCCAACTCATAGTGATCCTACAGGACAGAGCAGAACTGCCCAACAGGGTTTCCAGGGAGTTCCTGGTGGATTCAAACTGCCAACCTTTTGGTTAGCAGCCGAGCTCTTAACCACTACGCCACCAGGGTTTCCACGTTTTCTAATTAGTACAGTTAAAATACATCGATGATGACACGCTTATTTCTACTGGTTACAACAGGCAAAATTAAGTTAGAAGAAAGCAGTTCATCTTTCTTGACTTTTTATAGAATGAAGACATCCTCTAGATTTCTGGGTAAGAGGGAAAACTAGCAATGCCACAGTGATTTCCACTATTTCTTGCCATTCGAATATATCCTTGGTCACCAAAGTTGACGCCCCAGCTTTAGAAAAAGAAATAACACAAAATTAGAAATGAATAAACTCAAATCTTATTATCAACATTTTATCCCTTAGACTGTTTTCTCTCCTAAGTTATGAAAGTATATATGAAAAGCACTAAAACAAAATTATGATGAAATAATAATTTCTCCAGGGCTTTTAGGCAATTTTCAAAGGGTAGTTTGGTAGGCTCTAGTATGATATTGAGGAACAGGCTTTCAATACCTAAGGAAACCATATAAGGTCCATCCCAGGCTCTTCATCCTCCTGCTTTGTAAATACACTTTCTGCAGGGAAACTAATATTATTATCCTTTCCAAGGCCCCATCTCCAAATGGCTTTGCACATTAGGATCATGGGTGATGCATCTAATTTAAAATTCCTCTAAAGAACATCAATTAAATATTCTTGAGCAACTATTATGGAAAAGGTATAGGGCAAGGAATTCTAAGAAAAGCACTAAAAAGTGCAGCTCTCAGAAAGTTTTTAAATCTAGAAGTGGAGCTAACTAAGACTGTCTCATAACTAAAGCTATCCAAAAATGGAATGTGCTACCTTGTAAGCAAGTGAGTTCCCTGGCACTAGAAGTATTCAAGCAGAGTCTAGCTGTACCACTTGTCAGAGTTGTTGCAGAGGGAATCATGGGTCAGATAAGGGTTAGAGCAAATCAGTGGTTCTCTTGCTTTTTGACTTCATGGACTTTAGAGGATTTCAAAAGAATTTTGTAGATTGACATAAAGTCACCAATTTTTTTTAATTTAGCAAGTATAGATTTTTTTTAAATATAAAGCTTATATTTTGTAAAAAAAAGAGGACACTTTAACATAAAACTATTCAGAGTACATAATGTCTAAGGATAGTCTTTTGAGTTGAATAAATTCAGATTTATGAAAACGCACCACAATATTTTATTTTTTCTCACTTTGTCACAGACTGGTGAAAAAACTGGCAAAATCCTTATAGGAGAAATTATTTCTGAAGTACTTTTTATGACTCTGAGACTAAGTAATTGTAAGTATACAAATAATTATGAGTCCGAATTCATTAAATGCTATAACTAGGATACGAAGTACTATAAATAATTATGGAAAAGAAATTACATGGAACGGAGTTAACAGTAGGAATGGGCATTTAAAGATGATAAACAGATGATCAAGAGCATAGCTGATGGAGAGAGAAGCATAAATAAAAGCATGAAATTGAGATACTGGCTAGTGTGCTTAGAGAACAGCAAGAAATTTAGTTGAAAGGAAAACTGGGTGTCCTTAGGGAAGCAGTGGGAAAAGAGGATAGAAAGCAGACGTAGGGTCATGTGTGAAGAGCTTAGAATAGCAGGCTGTCATGGATTGAATTGTGTACCCCCCAAAAATGTGTGTATCCATTTTGCTGGGCCATGATTGTGGCAGTCCTCCATTTTGTGATTGTAAGTTTATGTTAAAGAGGATTCGGGTGGGATTGTAACACCCTTACTAAGTTCACATCCCTGATCCACTGTAAAGGGAGTTTCCCTGGGGGTGGCCTGCACCACCTTTTATCTCTCAAGAGATAAAAGGAAAGAGAAGCAAGCAGAGAGTACGGAACGGTCCTACCACCAAGAAAGCAGTGCCAGGAGCAGAGCGTGTCCTTTGGACCTGAGGTTCCTGCGCAGAGAAACTCCTAGTCCAGGGGAAGATTAATGAGAAGGACCTTCCTCCAGAGTTTACAGAGAGAGAAAGCCTTCCCCTGGAGCTGATGCCCTGAATTTGGACTTCTAGCCTACTAGACTGTGAGAAAAGAAACTTCTCTTCATTAAAGCCATCCACTTGTGGTATTTCTCTTACAGCTGTACTAGATAACTCAGCCACAGGCTCAGGCGTTCGCACTTCAATTCCATAGGCAAAGGGAAGCCACTGAAAATTTTCGCTCAAGGACTCAAAAGAAGGTTGTGTGTTTGCTTGCAATGGAGAAACTAAGAGGTGCTGGTTTATTGCAGGAAGACAAGTGGCATATTTAAAAAGGTCTGTGTTTCAAGGGGCCTCTAGTTATCAGCCACTCATGCTACTCTATTCCTCTTATCTTTATCTCTCTGTAGCATTTAACACAGTTGTCTACTCTCATCTCATTTCCCTCTCGACTTTAAGACGCTGTTGCCTCTTGATTTTCTCCTCCCTCTCTGGCCACTCCTTCTTAAACTCTTTCATGGAATTCCTTTTTTGCTTCCTTTCATTTAATTGCCATTCCTCTACCTAAAATTCTTTCATAGCTCCGCATAACTTTAGAATAAAACTCAAATTCCGTCTTCGCCTCTTAGCAATGGATGCAGTGCTCTCTTAGTACCCAGTCTGATAAGCAAAAGCAATAACAATAAGCTCTGGCCAAGCTATTATTAATATCAATGGCCGCCATTTATGGAGCACATACTCTGTGTTAGGCAGCTTAAAGTATATTATCTCATTTAATCATCACCTTGTGAGTGAGGTATCATCTTCTTTTTACTAAAGAGAAAACAGAGGGGCAGAGCTGTAAAATGACTTGGCCAAAGTCAAACAGATGGTAAATGGCAAGGCCAGGATTCAAATCTAGGATTGTTTAACTCCAAAGACTACTCTTTTTTTTTTTTTTTATTAAATTGTGCTTTAAGTGAAAGTTTACAATTAAAGTCAGTTTCTCATACAAAAATGTATACGGACATTGTTATGGGACCCCAGTTGCTCTCCCTATACTGTGACAGCACACTTCTTCCTTTCTACCTCAGATTTCCCGTGTCCATTCAACCAGCTCCTGTCCCTTTCTGCCTTCTCATCTCACCTCCAGACAGGAGCTGCCCGTTTAGTCTCATGGATCTACTTGAGCTAAGAAGCAAACTCCTCACGAGACTACTCTAACCTTTATATGATGCCTTTCTCTACATTATCCCTGTGAGTAAGGTAGTATGGGGAATGAAATTCAGAACAGAACATCCAGAATCTTACATAATTCATATCTTACTATAGCTATTTTACTGTCTTTGGGAAAAAATAGATAAAATAAGCTATTTTAGATGAACTGACTTTGGATCTTTGTTCTAGTAATGAAAATTGATTTGAGGTTCCAGGTATCAGTAGTATGAATTCATCCAGTGAGATCAGGAGTCCCGGATCCCGTTCAACATCTGGACAACTTTTCCCAGTTATTGAAGTTTATAAACTTTTTCCAGTTTATAAACCAAGATCAACTGCCCCAAACTTTATAGATGATCCCAGGGGTCTTTTTGACTGAGTCCTGCTAACTCTCCGTTAAAGAGTACAACTGACTAAAAATCTCAGGCACATAAAGCATCTGAGGACACACTGTGCCCTTCAGAACTGTGCAAGGTCTGTGCCAAATGTTCATTCCAATCCTTGCCAAGCTGTTTATTAACTCTATGGCTCTTCCACTCAAAGGGCTCAATTCTGGACAAGTTTCTTAACTCTCTTGGTATCAAGAGCTTCGTCATCTGTATTACGGGGATAAAATGCCCTTCTCATAAGGTTACTCTCAAAATTAAATGAGAAAATGGATTTGAAATACTTGCACAGTATCTGGTCCATGGTAAATGCTCGAGAAGTGGAAGTAGTTATGTTTATTACTAACCAGGTATGACCGGACTCAAGTAGGGTCCAGCCACTCTTTTAAAAATATAGCCTTCTTCTAGGGTGACCAACCATCCCAATTTGCCTGGGACTGTCCCAGTTTTCAAAATGAAAGTCCCGTGTCCGTTGCTGGTGGCAATGTGAAACGGTGAAGCTGCAATGGAGAACAGTTTGGTGGTTCCTCAAAAAGTGAAACATAGAATCTCCTAAGACTGATCAGAGGAGTAGTGTAGAAGATAAATAATAAATAAATAAAAGAAAGTGCCGAAGGCAGCAATGGGGGTCGTGAGTAATTTAGAATGTCGCTTTGTAAGACGCTGCGAGTGTTTATCATTGTCAACATCACGATCCTCATAATCACAGGAAAGCATTTGTAGAGGCTCCCTCGAATGCCGGATTTTAATTAAATACACAAAAAAGCGTGAATGTATTTACCTGTTTTTCACAAGCCAGTAGTCTTTTCCATTAAGTTTACCGTAGCCAATGACCAACACGCCATGATTCACATTCTGAGTGCAGGATGGGTCAAAGTAGACGCCTGATGATGGGATAGGATTGGAGACAAAGAGCAAATGGCATGTGACAACGAAGGACATCTGAAAATACCGTTACCGTTTGTTAGGCTGCTTTGGATATATGACAAGATTAATTAAAATGTTAGGAATCTATGCTCTCATGCTTCAACTATTCAGAGTTCATAATTCTTTGCTATGTATCTGTCAGTTTTCTTGCCAAGTTTGGCATCAACCCAATCATAATTCCCTCAGGTACTTTCTTTGATAACCTGCCACCTTTTCCTAATTATTTTAAAAATTATATACCATCACTTATTTCTTTGTATATATTCCCAAATTGTTAGTTTCATATATTTTCATCCTTTAGCAGATTAAATACTCTTTAAAGTGAAGTTTTTCAAAAATGTTCTAGCCTTGTATTTTGTCCAGTCCAACGCTCTACCCTTAGCGTGTGCTCGGGAAACGTGTTAAGTTCGTGTGGTTATGTATCATTTTCTTAAGCCTCGTTTTAAAAAAAGTGTGAGTGCCCTCCTTGTGCACTGCCATACTACACCTACACCACACACTCTCTGTGGTGGTTACAAGCATGGACTGGGGATCAAGTCGCCTGGTTTCTAATCCAGCTTCACCACTTCCAAACTGTGTAACTGTAGGCAAGTTAACCTCTCTAAAACTTAGTTTTCACATCTGTAAATTAGGATGTATTGCACTGGGCAAATCTGCTGCAAAAGACCTCTTTAAAGTGTTCAAAAGCAAAGATGTCACTTTGGGGCCTAAGGTACACCTGACCCAAGCCATGGTATTTTCAATCGCCTCCTATGCATGCGAAAGCTGGACAGTGAATAAGGAAGACCGAAGAAGAATTGATGCCTTTGAATTATGGTGTTGGTGAAGAATGTTAAATATACCATGGACTGCCAGAAGAACAAACAGGTCTGTCTTGGAAGAAGTACAGCCAGAATGCTCTTTAGAAATGAGGATGGCAAGACTTCATCTCACATACTTTAGCCACGTTATCAGGAGTGACCAGTCCCTGGAGAAGGACATCATGCTTGGTAAAGTAGAGGGTCAGTGAAAAAGAGGAAGACCCTCAATAAGATGGATTGACACAGTGGCTGCAACAATGAGCTCAAACATAGCAATGATTGTGAGGATGGTGCAGGACTGGGCAGTGTTTCTTTCTGTTGTACATCAGGTTGCTGTGAGTCGGAACCGGCTCGACAGCACCTAACAACAACTACAAGTTAGGGTTAGTGTAAGGATTAAATGAGATAATGTATGTTAAGAATTTAGCTTAGTCCATGGCATGCAGTGTTAGTAAACTTTGATGAGTGTTACTTTACCAATCAGAACTGGGTATTAAAAAACCAGCCTTGTGTGAAATGGAGGATTCTGTTTAATCTATCTAATCATTGGGAGGTGCAGAGACGGAGAAGGATAAGACCTTTTTTATAGTGCAAGGGCACCATGGAACGAGCATAATGTATCTGAATGTTTACCACTTTTGTAGAGGAAGAAAGTTGGGCGACTTGCATCCACACCAACAGACACGGGCCCTTTGTTAGCCACGGCCTCTGCCAGGGCAACCTCACTGCCATAGGGAAGCTCAGTGTACTTGGAACACGTGGCAGCTCGGTTTTTGGGGTCATACCGGCACTTTCCATCCTGCAAAAGAAGTATAGTAGGTAAAGAAGTATACTTCAACTTCCTGTATAAATCACCAATGGCCTAAGTATTCTAGATTTAAGAGATGTTTTCTTTCCTCACTTCAGCTTTTCTTTTTTTAAATTTTATTTACTGTCGTTGAGAATATACACAGCAAAACATACACCAATTTAACAGTTTCTACACGTACGATTCAGTGACATTGATTACATTCTTCGAGTTGTGCAACCATTCTCACCCTCGTTTTCTGAGTTGTTCCTCCCCCATTAACATAAACTCATTGCGCCCTAAGGTTCCCATCTAATCTTTCAAGTCTCTCTTAGCCTTTTCTTATGGCTTAAATTTTCAGCTTCGATTCATATTTTAAATGGACGGATTTGAGAGTAAAGGAGACCAATTAGAAGGCTCCAGCAATAGTCCAGGCAAGAGATGTCTCCTTCTCTCTTTCAAAGAAAGAAAAATGGAATCTTCCAAAGCTGAACAGTTCCAGGTTTTATCAATAACAGAGGAAATATAGAACTATTCAATTGTTTTCAATTGTGAGCATCTTCGTACACACAGAAGTTGCCAGGACAACGTCCCTTGGGGCTCCCAGGTGGATTGTAAGGTAATACTATATGGAGATCATAAATGCTAAAGAAGAGCTTTAAAATCCTTCTGATGATGGTAATGTCTGGTGAGCATCTGAAGTTAAAATGGTGGTTTATAAAGAACATATGATATGGAAAAGCACTTACAGTATATTTCAAGCGAAAAAAGGAAGATTACAAATTCATTTCTGTTGTGTATACAGCTCTGTTTTTTATATGTTTAAGGGGAAAAGAACTTGAAAGAAATAAACCAAAGTAATAACGGTTAAGATAGTAGAATTTTGGGTATTTTTATATTTTCTATATATGGCTTTATTACTTATATTAGTTAACAAAATGCATAATGAATTCATGAGGAGGAGGAGAGCATTGTTTAGCTTCTAAGTAGGTGTAAGTATGATGTGTGAATGATCTGAGAATCAGGTTAAGCTGTCATGAGGGGGAGCTGCAGGATAAAAAAGTTTAAATTCCAGGCACATATACAGGAAGAATATTAAAGGTTTACTTAAATTTTGTTTTTTGAGCGTGAATTCTATTTGCTTGTTTAAAAGCATCGTGCCGCAGTGAACTAAGAAGTTTACGTACGGTGTAAGAAGGAGAACTAGAGAATTTAAGAATCCCCGATGGGTATTCTCTGACGCACGGGACACTGTTTCTCAAGCAACGGCTTGGAGATCAGTCCAGTGTGGTCAAGGGATAGCATGAGGTCATGGGTCAGCACAAAACATTTCCTTGTGACGTACCATGGCTTTGTAGGGATAGGAAGCTTCCGAATCGATGCCTTTGTTATCGATGATGTATTGGAAAGCCCTGGTCATGAAGCCACCGTTGCAGCCTTTATTGCTGTATTTTTCATTTGAGCAATCCACCAGGTTTTGCGCACTGAGAGACACCAGCTTCCCTGTTTTCAGTTTCAGCTGTGCTTCCAGGGCCCCCACAGCACTGAAAGCCCAGCAAGAACCACAAGCACCCTACAACAGAGACAAAGTCACAAAGGTCATCGGAGGGAGTCAGTGGGAAAGGCTTCCATGACACAAAGGGGGCAACTCCCACCAAGGTCAGCCCTGTCGGTCAGTAGTTCCCAGAAAGAGCCCCCCACCCCCACTACAATTTCCTCCTCTCCTAGACAATGGAAGTGAAGACTTGACTGTTCTCTGGGCAAGGCCTACCCTTGATCAAGGTTTACACATGGCTGAGCTCAAAGCACAATGGCCGTATGCAAATAAAATATATTAAGAAACAGTAGTTACTGAGAGGTAGCAAACGCCAGCTAGTTTCCCGTAAGGAAGGGAGATCGCTGTCTACAGTAAAGTGATTTTGAGAGGAGCTAAGATGATCCCCTTGACCTAAAAAACCCTTCCTTCTGCCAAACGAAGGCTGAAAGATGAGAACTTTAATCCTAGGTTAGCACTTGGCAAACATATTTAGTCTCAGAATTTTTTGATCAAAAGATATTTTACAGGGAGGTATAAACAAACAGAAGAAGACAAAGCTGCTTTGGTTAACAAAGTACAGAGAATCTAGAGCCTGGTCACAGCTGCTCTCCCTTTTTCTTCTCTGTCCCTCCCACCTCGCTCTCTATCCAAGAAAGCAATTTGAAATGGCTTTTGATTAAACCAGAAATCCCCCATCAAAATGCAAGTATCGAGGAAAAAGAGCACATTAAATTATTCAGAGTTATCATCTGAATATATAGTTTATTGGGTCTTCCCAAACTTTTATTTTAGTGAAGCTAGGGTAAGAAGCCCAAAACTGGTTGAAAGAAAAATCTCTAGGTAGAGAAAAATAAGAGATTAGTGGTACCACTCACTTCTTCATCAATTTTTACTTTCTTTATTGGTCACAAGCTGGGGCAGCTGTTCAGAACGTTCTGATTCTTCTCTCTTACCCTGACTTCTGAGGTGACACGTGTGTTCTACCCTTAGTTATCCCTAACCAGTCTGCGATTTTTGTAGTTTGTTTTTACTTTTCTTTCAGGCAAACTAAAGAAAAATGAAAATACAAACACATAGGAACAGCAATTTTGTAAAGCCAATATTTCTTACTCTAATAATGCAAGCTGAACCCTGAATTGGGGAAGCCCTGGTGACACAGTGGTTAAGCGCTCAGCTGCTAACTGAAAGGTCAGCACTTCGAGCCCACCAGCCATTCCACAGGAGAAAGATGTGGCAGTCTGCTTTTGTAAAGATTTACAGCCTTGGAAACCCTGTGGGGCAGTTGGAGTCTGTCCCATAGGGTTGCTAAGAGTAGGGATTGACTTGATGGCAACAGATTTGGTTTTGATTTAACCATGAATTAACCTGACTGGTACAACTTACAGGCCACGGTTAGCTCTAGTTTTTCCCCATCCTTCAACCCTGAAATACTAAGTAAGATCGAGGGGGAAATATATAAGTGAGATCAAGGGGGAAACACATAAGTGAGATCGAGGGGGAGACACACAAGTGAGATCGAGGGGGAGACACACAAGTGAGATCGAGGGGGAGACA